GTCTGGAAAGCTGAATTTGAAATTTTTAAATTGCACTTGAACAGGGAATATCTCCTTAAAATTTTAACCTTCCAGCTCTTGTGGTTGCCGAATTAGTAATTTTCCTGCACAAACTTCCATACACCCTTGTATGAGTATCACGCATGATTTGGGGCTGAACTTCAAACATTTGAGTTGTACTTGGATAGGGAACATTCTCCCAAAATTTCAACTTTCTAGCTTTCCTGGTACTCGAGTTAGCAATTTTCCCCCTAAAACTTTCATACGCTCTTACGTGAGTACCACGCACACCTGGGGCTGAGTTTGAAATCTTTAGCTAGTACATGCGCAGGGAATATCCCTACAAAGTTCCAGCCCCTTAGCTCGTGCGGCTCCCGAGATAGCTTTCGCGCCAAAAAATTTGCATATTTCTTTAAAGCGTCCGTACGCGGCACCCAGGCTTCCGCGGGGGATGAAATTAAAACGGGAGGGTCGCGCATGGTATAGGCACATATCCTCAAATTTTCAGCCTTCTGCTTTTCTGGTTCTCGAGTTGAAAGTGGGTGACAAAAAGTGCGGACACACAGGCACACACAGACACACACACACGCACACACACACAGACAGCGTCTTCCCAATATGCATTTTTGCAATTTACATATATGCAAAAACGCATAAAAACTGCTGGACTGAGCAAAATGCAGATTTTTGTTATGATAATGATAAAAGTGTGGCAGTTTAGAGGAAATTTTCTTTCTTGCCTGCTCATCAATAAAATTGCGTTTCATGAACAATTTTACGGGAGAAAAATGAAGAAAGCCTTCGTCAGCAAAAAAGTCGCCATCAGAAAAATGATTCGCCGGATTATTTTTTTTTTCTTTTTTTTACGTAGCACTTGCAACAATGAACAGTGGTTTCAGCGTGCAGCTAAGTAGATGGAAAAGAACAGGATGGATGATGTCCTTTACTAAATCACAAAACATCTTTTCTAGCAGCATTTCAGGACCACACGTTTCAGCTTCGTGGTTGAGCTGATTTCGTTGCATGGAAGCGAAACGCAGAATG